TAGAAACATTTTCTAGAGGACCAAAAAGGAGAAAAATTGTTCATATTATAATGAATTTTTCGGAATTTTTCAAGGATATTTTTACCACAGGACCTTCAACGCGTGATTTTTTTAATAATTTTTCTAAAGGATCCTTAAGAAAATGACCGTGGGTTTTTTAAAGATTTTTTCCAGAGGACCATCAAGGCAAAAATTGTAATTTTTATAACGAATTCTAATACCATCAGGGCAATAACTATTGATTTTAAATAATTTCTCCTGAGGACCCATCCATCAATAACAATTTGAAAGTTGTTAAATATTTTTCTTGAGGATCATTGATGTAAAAATTGTGATTTTTTTAAATAATTTCTCCCGACGATCATCGAAGTAATAATGTTATTTTTTTTACAGATTCTTTCCTTAGGTCCATCGATGTAACATTCAAGGACAATCAAGGTCATAATAGTGTATTTTATTTTTTTATGAGGATCATTAATGCAGTAGTTGTGCATTTTTTGCAAATTTTTTTTCCCAAGGTCCATTAAAACAATATTTGTGTATTTTTTGGGAATTTTTCCTATGGACCATCAAGGCAATAATCACGAAAAAAATAATTTTTCCTGTGAACCATCAAGTAAATTATTGTAGATTTTTATAGAATTTTTTCTAAAGACCATCAAGCAAATTAACTCGGATCCTTAAAAAAAAACCATTCCGAATATTATCAAAAATGAATAATGGCGGAGTTCTTTTAAAATTTTACCTGGGCACCATCAAGGCAATAATCGTAGTTTTTAAAGAATTTCTACCCAGAACCTTCATGGCAATATTCGCGATTTTTTAAAGAATGCATTAGGGCATTTAGCACGGATAATCAATGTCTCTTCGTCATACCAAATAAGGACATGCATTAACACTTAATTCAATAATTTCCAACAGAACGATAGATTAAAAAATTTAAATATTTTGTTTTTTATTTTTATTTATTAAAATATCATTTCTTTTAATTGTTTCTTTCACTCTCTCTCTCTTTTTCATAGAAGAGCACCAGGTCTTCTCATACAAGAGCACTATGTCCTCTCATAGAATAGCACTAGGTCTTCTCATTGAAGAGTAGAAGGTAGGAACGATAGATTAAAAAATTTAAATATTTTGTTTTTTATTTTTATTTATTAAAATATCATTTCTTTTAATTGTTTCTTTCACTCTCTCTGTTCCCTTAACAAGTTGTATGAATTTGACGCCAGCCACCGATGATGCCTGTCAAAAATCTCTCAATCAGCTTCGCCTGTTGTGGCATTAAGATTTTCTTTTCACACACTTCAATTTCACGATAAATCCCAGCCATAGTTTTGCAATTTTTAATAAAACATTTGGCTTGTTCATCCATATCTTCGATATTTTCACAATCATCGATTGCAATTTCCTGCTTGCATGTTTCCGATGCTTCGGCATTGGCACCATTGACCAGTGTCTCAAATTCTTCATCCAGGGTGTTCATCATCAGATCCTTAAATTTTACCATATAATGATGTTTGGCATTGAACCAACATTCACGTTTATTGCTAATTATATTTGCCTTATCTGCAATGGAGTCACCAATACATTGGTCACAAGGGTCCTCCAACGCTGAGGAGAAACTAAGACATAAAAGGTTAAAGGCTAAAAAGATAAAAGACTTATATTTAACTTCTCCATAAAACAATTAGAAAATTCTACTTACCAGAAAGAAATATAATCACTTTTGAGTAAAACATTCTGAATATGTCTATTTGTGAGATATAGCCTATTTTGGATTGAATACATCCATTTCAAAACGTACTTATATAGACAGATGGCCAATTCATACAAATGTTGTTAGATGATACATCTAAAGCCTAATTATTTTCTTTTTGTTTGGCTAATTCATTCTTTTTAACTTCTGTATTTACTGCAAATATTTAAATCGCATAAAAAATTAATAAGAAAACAATGGTCTTTCAAACAAAGGGATTTCCGAAATTTCACAATGCATTCGATTATCCATTTAATTTTGAAACAACTGTATTTACTCAATTAGGTTCATTGTGTCTGCACGCGTGTTCCTTAAGAATAAAAGGTTTGCAAGGCCAGAAAAAGTCACGCAAATTAACTACTTTCGAAATTACATTAAATGTGGCGCCACAAAGGGCAGGGCAGAGGGTCCCCTCACCGAAAAACAAGAGGTATTTTCACAGAAGATCTGCTGATAGAAGAGCAGTATTCTCTCGGATGAGCAGAAGGTCATCTTCTCTCAGTAGAGCAGACTATCTTCTGAATAGCCGAAGGCCTTCATAGAAGAGCAGAAGGTTTTCTCATGAAGGTATTTTTATAGAAGAGTATCAGGTCTTCTTTTAAAAGGGCAGAATTACTTCTTATAGAAGACAAGAAAGACATTTTATATAAGAGAAGACCTTCTTCTTATAAAAAATGACAAAGACTTCTCACAGAAGGACAGAAGGGTTTCTCATAGAAGAGCGGAAGGTCTTCATAAAGAAGAAAACTAGTTCTTCTAAGAGAAGGGCAGAAATTCTTCACTGATGAGAGCAGAAGCTGTTTTCATGGAAGAATAGAAGGTCTTCTCAGAGAAGAGCAGAAGGTTCTCTCATAGTAGATCAGATCTTCTCATAAAAGAACGGAAGGTCTTCATAAAGAAGAGAACAATTTTTTCTAAGGGAATATTACAAGTTCTTCTAAGAGAAGAACAGAAGTTCTTCAAAGAAAAGAGCAGCAAAACTTCTTAGAGAAGAGCAGAAGGCTTTTTCATAGAAGAGCACCAGGTCTTCTCATACAAGAGCACTATGTCCTCTCATAGAATAGCACTAGGTCTTCTCATTGAAGAGTAGAAGGTCTTCTTATTGAAGAGCAGAAGGTCTTCTCATTGAAGAGCAGAAGGTCTTCTCATTGAAGGCCAGAAAATCTTCTCGTAGAAGGCCAGAAGGTCTTCTCTCAAAAGGTCAGAAGGTTTCTTAAAGAAGGCCAGAAGGTTTTCTCATAGAAGGCCAAAAGGTCTTCTCATAGAAGGTCAGAAGGTCTTCTCATAGAAAGTCTTTTCAGGGAAAAACAGGAAGTCTTTAGAAGAGTAGAAGGTCATGCCTCAAAAGAGAAGAAGGTCTTCCATAGAACACCAGAAACCCATAAGGTCTTTTCATAGAAGACGAAAACGTCTTCTCAGAGAAAAGCAGAACATCTTTTCATAAAAGACCAGAACTTTTTCCAAAAGAAGACAAGCAGGTCTCCTCATAGAAAACTAGAAGGTCAACTCATAGACGACCAAAAGGCCAGAAGATCTTCTCATAGAAGGCCAGAAGGTCTTCTCTCAGAAGGCCAGAAGGTCTTCTCTCAGAAGGCCAGAAAGTCTTCTCGTAGAAGGCTAGAAGGTCTTCTCGTAGAAGGCCAGAAGGTCTTCTCGTAGAAGGCTAGAAGGTCTTCTCGTAGAAGGCCAGAAGATCAGAAGGTCTTCTCTCAGAAGGCCAGAAGGTCTTCTCTCAGAAGGCCAGAATTTCTTCTCTCAGAAGGCCAGAAGGACTTCTCTCAGAAGGCCAGAAGGTCTTCTCTCAGAAGGCCAGAAGGTCTTCTCTCAGAAGGCCAGAAAGTCTTCTCGTAGAAGGCTAGAAGGTCTTCTCGTAGAAGGCCAGAAGGTCTTCTCGTAGAAGGCTAGAAGGTCTTCTCGTAGAAGGCCAGAAAGTTTTCTGTCAGAAGGCTAGAAGGTCTTCTCGCAGAAGGCCAGAAGGTCTTCTCTCAGAAGGCCAGAAGGTCTTCCCTCAGAAGGACAGAAATTCTTCTCTCAGAAGGCCAGAAATTCTTCTCATAGAAGGCCAGAAGGTCTTCTCGTAGAAGGCCAGAAGGTCTTCTCTCAGAAGGCTAGAAGGTCTTCTCATAGAAGGCCAGAAGGTCTTCTCAGAGAAAACTAGAAGGTCAACTCATAGACTAACAAAAGGCCTTCTCATAGAAGACGAGGAAATGCTTTCAAAGACGACCAGAACGTCGCCTCATCAATAAAATGAAGATCTGCTCGTCGATCAGATGAAGGACTTCTCATCGAAAAGATTAAGGTGTTCTCATCAAAGAGCAGATGAGGCCAAATAGATGAGGATTTTCCATAGAAGACGGTAAGGTATTCTCAGAGAGGGCGAGAATGTCCTCTCACCGAAGAGATGAAGGTTCTCATCGAAAGGTATTCTCTTAGAAAAACAACAGGTCCTCTCATAGAAGAACAGAAGGTCTTCTCATAGCAGGGGAGGGGATCTTTTCATAGGGGAGCAGAAAGTCTTTTACAAGAACAGCAGAATCTATTCTTGATTTCTGAGAAGAACAGTAGGTCCTCTCATAGAATAGGAAAAGGTTTTCTCATAGAAGAGCAAAAGGTCTTCTGATAGAAGAGCAAAACGTCCTCTCATAGAAGAGCAGCAGAAGGTCTTCTCAGAGAAGAGCAGCAGAAGGTCTTCTCAGAGAAGAGCAGCAGAAGGTCTTCTCAGAGAAGAGCAGCAGAAGGTCTTCTCAGAGAAGAGCAGCAGAAGGTCTTCTCAGAGAAGAGCAGCAGAAGGTCTTCTCAGAGAAGAGCAGCAGAATGTCTTCTCAGAGAAGAGCAGCAGAATGTCTTCTCAGAGAAGAGCAGCAGAAGGTTTTCTCAGAGAAGAACAGCAGAAGGTCCTCTCATAAAAGACCAGAAGGACATTTCATAGAATGCTAGATGGTACTCCCATAGAAGACCAGAAGGAGCTCTCATAAAAGACCAGAAGGACAGCTCATAGAAGACAAGAAGGTCCTCTCATAAAAGAGCTGCGAATATTCCTGACTTCTTCTATTTGACTAGAAAAAAATGTAATCAATCGTGATGTATCGAAGACTGTTTGTGACATTCAAAGCTGGCTGAAAGTCAAAACTTATATTTCAATAGGCCAAATGCAAATAAATTATTAACGCATGCCATCTGTGCATTTGTTTCCAATTAATTCTTTATATTCGAAATATTTATATTTGAAGTTAATTTGAACAACGAAATTTTTTAAAAATTATAGCGAATATAAAAGCCAAACATATGGGCCATAAAATGATTAGAACTTTTATAGACCCAATATTCATAACAAAATGTTGAATACAAAATTGTGTTTTATTGTCGGAGGTATGTTCATGAATAATTGAATTCAGAATTTACTCATTTTTAGCAATAAACCTAATCTTTTTAGCATTCCTTGTAATTTTCATCACCCCAATTCGGTCAGTCGATTTGACTAATGCAGCATGCCTCGATTGCGCCGGAGATTCCATGCTCACGCTAGTTGAAAAATATTCCGAGAAGCTGGAATGTTGGATGGACACCAATCACCATGTCATCGTTAAGCTCCAAGTATTCAATCTCATGGAACTTGCTGAGAATTTCAAATCGGTTGTGGATAAAAATAATGAAGTAGTGGCGGATGAGTGCAAGAAAGAAGTTACTTTGGAATCATGTGACAGCAAAGATTGGGACAAGGATTGCTATTGTGCCATGGATAATCTCAGGACAGTTGTTGAAGCGTATCGTGATCAAGAGAAATGTAATGGCCAGCTGATTGAGTCTCCGATGCTGAAAATTGCCAGTAGACTTGTGTTGGGCTCCTTTGTTGGTTGGGGTTTCATACATCCAGATTGTTGATAGAATGTGTGGGGGAGATTGTGGAGAGGAATTTTTTTAATTAAAAGGAAATTGACATAAAATAATAAAAGAAAATTTAAAAGTTTAAGAAAACAATTCTGCAGTGGGAATTTTATTCAATCAAGGGTGAGCGTGAGAATAGTTATAATGAAGGATAAGTCCTACTTAATAAAAACAATATTTTGCAAGCAATGGCAATCTTTTTATAAAAAGGTACCATTTGGCCCAGAAAAAAATGCTAATGGAAATTTAAATTAGCATTAAAAATTAATGCATTTATATCACTTTTTCTCAAAAAAGAACCATAGACAAAGGACTCTTATAGTTTTGCGATATATTTCTTACCATAAGGCTTTGAAATTTGATAGAGATCTTTGGATTGCACTTTTATTCACTTTTTGGAATAGCTTCTTTTTTTAGGTAACTTAGTTTAGATGGTCTTTCAAAAAATATATATTTAAAAATAATTCAAAATAATCTTTATAAGCCACATTAATAAACCAGATGTTCTATAAAAATTCAGTGTTAATAGCTCAATTGATCCTTAGAAAAAAGGTCCCAAGAAGGTCTTCTCCGAGAAGAGCCGCAGAAGGTCTTCTCCGATAAGAGCAGCAGAAGGTCTTCTCCGAGAAGAGCAGCAGAAGGTCTTCTCAGAGAAGAGCAGCAGAAGGTTTCCATAGAGAAAAGCAGCAGAAGGTCAGAGAAGGGCAGAAGTATGTCTTCTCAGAGTAGAGCAGAAGTAGGTCTTCTCAGAGAAGAGCAGAAGAAGGTCTTCTCAGAGAAGAGCAGAAGAAGGTCTTCTCAGAGAAGAGCAGCAGAATGTCTTCTCAGAGAAGAGCAGCAGAAGGTCTTCTCAGAGAAGAGCAGCAGAAGGTCTTCTCAGAGAAGAGCAGCAGAAGGTCTTCTCAGAGAAGAGCAGCAGAAGGTCTTCTCAGAGAAGAGCAGCAGAAGGTCTTCTCAGAGAAGAGCAGCAGAAGGTCTTCTCAGAGAAGAGCAGCAGAAGGTCTTCTCAGAGAAGAGCAGCAGAAGGTCTTCTCAGAGAAGAGCAGCAGAATGTCTTCTCAGAGAAGAGCAGCAGAAGGTCTTCTCAGAGAAGTGCAGCAGAAGGTCTTCTCAGAGAAGTGCAGCAGAAGGTCTTCTCAGAGAAGTGCAGCAGAAGGTCTTCTCAGAGAAGTGCAGCAGAAGGTCTTCTCAGAGAAGTGCAGCAGAAGGTCTTCTCAGAGAAGTGCAGCAGAAGGTCTTCTCAGAGAAGTGCAGCAGAAGGTCTTCTCAGAGAAGTGCAGCAGAAGGTCTTCTCAGAGAAGTGCAGCAGAAGGTCTTCTCAGAGAAGTGCAGCAGAAGGTCTTCTCAGAGAAGAGCAGCAGAAGGTCTTCTCAGAGAAGAGCAGCAGAAGGTCTTCTCAGAGAAGAGCAGCAGAAGGTCTTCTCAGAGAAGAGCAGCAGAAGGTCTTCTCAGAGAAGAGCAGCAGAAGGTCTTCTCAGAGAAGAGCAGCAGAAGGTCTTCTCAGAGAAGAGCAGCAGAAGGTCTTCTCAGAGAAGAGCAGCAGAAGGTCTTCTCAGAGAAGAGCAGCAGAAGGTCTTCTCAGAGAAGAGCAGCAGAAGGTCTTCTCAGAGAAGAGCAGCAGAAGGTCTTCTTAGAGAATAGCAGAAGAAGGACTTCTTAGAGTACAGCATAGAAGACCAGAAGGTCTTCTCCGAGTAGAGCATAGAAGACCAGAAGGTCTTCTCAGAGTAGAGCATAGAAGACCAAAAGGTCTTCTCATAGAAGACCAAAAGGTCTTCTCATAGAGGACCAAAAGGTCTTCTCATAGAAGACCAAAAGGTCTTTTCATAGGAGACCAAAAGGTCTTCTCATAGAAGACCAAAAGGCCTTCTTATAGAAGGCCAAAGGGTCTCTACACATCCAAGTAAATAGCTCAAATGGTCCTTTAAAAAATGGTGTCTAAAATCCAAATTAGTAGCACAGATATTACACACACAGAAATATTCTTCGAAAGATCTACTTGGTTCTTCGAAAGCTTTGCCTAGATTGTCCTCCAAAAAAGGTCTATAAAAATCCAAAGACTACGTTATTAGCTCAGATGATCCTACAATAAATGGTCCTTAAAAATCCACGTTAGTAGCTCTTTTTATTTCAATTATCAATTTATATTTTGGAATTATTTGTATTGTATATTTATTTGTATTTGTATATGTATATTTTAATTGTTTGTATTTAATTAAAATTATTTTCCTCCCTTGCCTTAACAGTCCGGATGCATCATACCCCAGCCAACAAAGGAGCCAAACAACAGCTTTTTGGCCACAGTAAAGAGTCGCGATCGAATGGCTTTTCCATGGCATGCCTCCTGATCACGATAGGCTGCTACGACAATTTTCAAATTTTCCATCAAACATTCCGAGGCCGTGTCAGTGTCTGTTATATCACATTTCTCGAGAGCCACCTCCTTTTTACACTCTTCTGCAACAACGGCGTTATTATTCGTTATCACCATTTTGAAATCTTCAACCAAGGCAATTAGATTCCACAGTTTCAATTTCATAATGACATGATGATTGCTATCGAACCAGCATTTACGTTTTACTTCAAATTTCCCGATTAAATCCATCATCGCCTCGCCAGAACATCCTTTGCATGGTGTGGGTGCTGCGGCATCGTCGGCTGAGATGGGGGAGGCAGTGAGGGCAATTATGACCAAGAAGGCTGAGAACAAGTGAAGAAGATGATTTTCTTATTAAAGTTCAATTAAATGTTAATATTTTAATATTGGTGGCCTACCTGCTAAACCTAGACACACTCTGTTGTGAAACATTTTTCTGAACTGCGTAAAAAATTATAATTTACAATGTTTTTAAAAAAATAATTTCGAGGAAATTTAAATTAATTTATTTTCTATTTTGTTAAATTGCTTTGATAGAAAAAATAAATAAAATTTTATTGTTAATATCTTTGGACTTTTCAAAAGCAAAATAATAGAGAATTTTATGTTTATTCAGATGATTGTGTTGTTAGAACATTTGGTATTGTATCCAGTTTGAAAAGAAAATAAATATGTACATACATACATATTTATTTATTTATTTTTAACTTAATACAATACCTCAAAATTGGGCACATTTTTCTTCTAATTAACATTTTTTTTAGCGAAATTAATGTAATAGAAGACCTCAGGTTGGTCCTAGACCCTTATCTTATCTTCTTATACATAGCACAGATTTGTTCGAGTTCACTCGTGAGCGAATATTGCTTGAAGAGTGGGAGTATTTTACGGAGTCTACTCGTCAGTCTTTTGATTTGTGTGACAGCGCTCTTGATTAAGTCCTGTTTGAAAACTAGAGTGGGAGCAGAAGAATCGCTGAAAACAGAGCAAGACTTTACTCTAAGAGTGAAAAAAATTGTGTGCAAAATCAAACCGGTTTTAATGTCGCTGTGTACTGTAAAAGAAAAGGGTGAAAGGGAGGAGGGGTTGGGAGGGAAGAGACAGATGAGGAGGGAAGAGGTTGATGAGAGTGGAAAAACGGGGTGTGATTGTGAACAGACAAAATACACACACATAGATATACAAAAACATTATGTAAAAACTAAAAGAGTGCTCGCAAGAGAAGAATCTGCTTGATTTTGAACGAACTTTGCCCCTGTTCAATAACAAAGAAAAAGAAAACAAACACAACAAAGAAAACACACTCTCTCCTACTCGAGCGATATCGAATAATTGAATTTGCACGGCAACCGAAGAATCTGCTCGATTTCGAACGAGTTTTGCTTACGCTCTAAACCGCAGATAACATGCTCTCTCCTTTTCGAGCGGCATCGAGAAATTAAATTTAATTGTTTGCTCCCAGAGTCCTCTATCTCTCTCGAATTCGAGTTTGTATGAATTCTAGCGAGTTTTTCATAGATCTATTCCTATCTCAACGAGCTGAGTCGATCCAATTGTGGCGTGTATGTCGGTCCAGACGGAAGTCCGTCTGTCCATGTTAGTTTGCAAATACTCTTCACGGAGGCCTATTTTTTCGGATATGTTCGCAAAAATATAATATATGAAAATGAACGTTACAAGCTGAAATGGTGATTTGGGGATATTTTTTAAAAATCCACATGGTCTTCAAAAGTTTATTTTTAGGTTCAGATAGTTCTTAAAAACATTATTGGAAAAGTTCACAATAGTAGCTCAGAGTGTCCTTTAAAAAACTGAACAAAAAAATAGATCTTGAAAAAATTTTCAGAAAATAGTGGTCCTTCAAAAATGGTCTATAAAAATCCAAAGGCCACGTTAGTAGTTTAGATGATCCTTAAAAAATTGTACTCTGAAATCCACGTTATTAGCTCAGATGGCCCTTCAAAAAATTGTGTTTCAAATTCACTTTAGTCGCACAGAATAAGGTGATTCAAAAATATCCCTTGAAGAATGCAAATGGCCTTTCTGAAGCATTCCTTAAAAAATGATGTTAGATGGTCTTCAAAAAAAGATCTATGAAAATCCGAAGGCCACGTTAGTAGCCCAGTTGATAATTCGAAAAATTGTCTTAAATATCCATGTTAGTAGCTGAGATGGTCCTTCTAAAACGATCTCTAAAAATCCACTTTAGATGGTCATTCAAAAATATCCTTTGCAGAAACTACTTGATCCTTTAAAAAAATTCCTTAAAAAATAATTTTAGATGGTCCTTCCAAAAGTAGTCCATTAAAATCCAAAATCCACATTAGTATCACAGATGGTCCTTCAAAAAATGTGTCAAAAAATCCATTTTAATAGCTCAGATGGTCCTACCAAAACGGTCTCTAAAAATCCACGTTAGCAGCACAGATGGTTATTCAAAAATATCATTCGAAGAATCTACTTGGTCCTACGAAAGTATTCTTTAAAAAAATCTTCTTAGATGGTTCTTTAAAAAATGATTCATAAAAATCCAAAGGCCACGTTAGTAGCTCAGATGGCCATTCAAAAAAAAAAATTATATATAAAGTCCTTCAAAAAATGGTATTTAAAAATCCATGTTAGTAAACCAGATGATCCTTAAAAATTGGTCTATAATGACCACAAGGACAAGTTAGAAGCTTACTTAAGAAGTGGTCCTTTCAAATCCACGTTAGTACCTCAGTTGGTCCCTCAAAAATTGTATTTAAAATCCTTAAAAATTGGATTCAAAAAATCCACGTTGGTAGTACAGGTGGTCATTCAAAAATATCCTTGGAAAAATCTACTTGGTCCTTCCTTTAAAAAAATCATCTTAGATGGTTCTATAAAATGGTCTAGAACAATCCTCACTTGATCTTTCCAAAAAGGTCCTTACAAATCTAAAATAGATGGTGATTCAAGAATGTCCTTCGAACAAATAAATTTCGAATTGGAGCATCGAAAGCATTCTTTAAAAAATTGTCTTAGATCGTCCTTTGAAAATTTCCATAAAAATTCCACTTTAGTAGCTGAGATGGTCCTCCCAAAATATTCCTTATAAATCTACTGAATCCCACATAAGTAGCTTAGAAGGTCCTCAAAAAGAAATCAAGTTATTAGCCCAAATGGTCCTCCAAAGCGATTCTTAATCAATTCTCATTGGTCCTTAAAACAATACTTTTAAGTTATTTAATTTTATTGAATGTGACCAATATTGTCATGGTTTTTTTTAAAGATTTTTTCTGACTACCCTGGTCAAAAACATTTCATATAAGGGACATCCAAGCCCCGCCCCCTCACCCTTCAAAAAATCGACTTTCAAATTGTTATCTGATCTTGTTTTTATTAATATTTTTCTATTTTACATTTTAGTGCAACAAACGATATTTAATGGCTCTCAAGATGGGATATTTTTCACCCATGCAAAGGCCGCGGAAATCATCGAACTCTAAATCGAATAAAGCCACACCGCCCAAATTCAGATTCTTCGTGTAAGCAGCCTTTGCTGCGGCCGTCTCTGGATCTTCATATGAAATCCAAAGACCATCGAAATTCTTTTTCTTATTAGCAGCGCGATAAGCATAAACTCCACTTTTTCTAGCAGGATCAGCCATTACTTTTGTCAATGGAGCATTGGGTCCCTCCTTAATATACATGTTATTTGCATTCGGCAACATTCCGCACACTTCCTGCCAACTGTATAATCCTTGGATTTGAGCATTTTCCCCCTTGGCAGCTTCATTTTCCACATTGGCAATTGGTGGCACACCCGATTTACCAGAGTCCGCAGACATCTTCCATGGGCGACCATAGGTGCTAATACCCAAATTAATTTTCGAGCTGGGGAAACCTTTGCTTAACCAAGTTTGGACCACAAAATCAATGCTGAATTCAGGTCTACGACCACTCATTGGATAGAGGGGTGCCGTTATATCCGCCTCCTGGGGATTACGTTCAGGGGTATAAAAATCAAAGGCAGCCAAGTTAATGAAATCCACATAACTATCCAGCAGGCCAATGTCGAAGAATTTCGTTGAATTAACATTTGGCAAAACGGTGACCGACAACGAATAGTTATCCGTACGTAATTCAGTTTTCAATTCACGTATCAAGGAACTGAATTGTTCCTTGTGTTTCTCGGAATTTGAATCCACATCAAAACTACCGGAAAATGTCTTCTTTATGCGCTTCCAAATGCTACCAAAGACACCATGAACCTTTTTGGGTTTATTTTTTGGGAATTGGAAAGCCACATCGACACCATCGAAACCATAACTCTTGAGAGTGGCATAGATGCTCCGAATGAAACGTTGACGTCCAATTGCCGATTCCAATAGTTCCAAATATTTATTCGGCACTTCCTTACCACCATTGTTGGCATCTACATCGCGATCACCACCCACACTCAGCATTACCTTAACATGGGGATATTTGCGTTTGAGGCGGTTAACTTTGCGATAAAGGCCTTTACCCAAATCTAAATCTAAATTCTCATTCAGACTCTTGGCCTTAAAGGTATCCCGTTCGATGCCAGCAAAACCATAGACAATGTGGGTGCAAAATTGAAAAGCCGGCTCCAATTCGTCGATGAACATTTTTGCGAGAGTTTCTTTAACCGAACTGGCCGAATCATAGTAACAGACCAAACGTTTTTCAGTCGGTGGTATTGATATCGATGATCGGTACTGGGCCCATGTACACGAGCACAAGGATATCAGGATGAAAATTGTTGAAATTTGCATCTTGATGGATGCTTTGAAGTTGTACTTGTTTCCGTCTTAGAAAAATAAAATAATGCGAATTAAAATATGTTCCGACACGTAGTCGTTTCGAAATTCTGGAAAACACTGAAACTCCAGACGTTGTTTGCTATTTTAGCAGGTGTTTATTAGAATATTTATAATATATTTTGAAACGGATTATTTGGGTGGTGTTCGAATGTGTTGTACCTTACTGATGATTTCTGATTATGGGGCCCAATTAGACAAATGGAATATTTTTCTTAAACGATTGTTTTTTGAAAGTGTGAACTTTTGGCTATTAGTGAAGATAAAAAACTTCAAAACGTGGACAGGTCGGTGCATCCCATTGGCCGTATTTTGAAGTTTCCAGTATTATTTTTATAGAAGCTCTGGTGGATAAACTTTGAGTTCTTTTTTATAGAGAGCTACAAACCTCCTATATTTTAATAATATCCCTCAAGAACCTGTAATAGATTAGCTATACACACTGTAAAGTCTTAGATATTTTTATTGGAGACCGCAGAATTACACGGATAATAGTAGGACTTCTTATAGAGAGGCTTTGGTAGATCTACAATTTGTTTTTGTAAAAATAAAAATTGAACAGTGTTGGCATATTTGTTGGGATACCGTTGTTATTTTATTTTAACTAAATATGAAGACCTCTCTCATAAAAACAGCTGAGGGTCTTTTCTGAGAACTGCTAAAGGTCTTCTCTCAGAAGGTGTCCACTCAGAAGATCTTCACTTAACAGAACTGAAGATGTTCTCTCAGAAGTGTAGAAAGTCTTGAAAGAGAGCTGAGGGTCTTCTTTCAGAAGATCTGAAGGTCTTCTCTTAAAAGAGTCTTTTAAAGAAAAGCAGAAGGTCTTCTCATAGAAGAGTTAAGGCTTTCACATAGAAGAGCAGAAGATCTTCTCATAGAAGAGCACAAGAGCAGAAGATCTTCTCATAGAAGAGCACAAGGCCTTCTTATAGAAGAGCAGAAGATCTTCTCATAGAAAAGCATAAGGGCTTCTCATAGAGACCCAGGTGGTCTTTTCACAGAAGAGCAGAACGTCCTCTCTTAGAAGAGTACAGAAGGCCTTGTACTCTTCTTTCTGAAGAGCTGAAGGTCTCTTCATAGACGACAAAAAGGTCTTCTAATAGAAGACAAGGACGGCTTCCCATGAAGACCAGGAGGCCTTCTAATAGAACATCAGAGGGTCTCCTCATAAAAGCCAGAAGTTATTTCCATAGAAGACCAGAAGGTCTTTCCGTAGTTGGTTATCGTATAGAAGATATGAAGGAATTCCTATAGAAGATCAGGAGGTTTTCCTTTAGGGGACTAGAATGTTTTCTTATAGAAGACCAAAAGGTCTTCTCGTAGAAAACCAGGAAGGTTTCCACCTAGAAGAGTAAGAAGATCTTCACATAGAAGACATAAGGTCATCTCCCAAAAGAAGACCACTAGGTATTTTCTCAAAGAAGACCAGAATCTAATCTCTAGGAGACCCGAAGATAAATCTCAAAGGAGACCAGAACATCTTCTCAAGACCAGAAATACTTCTCAAATAGGATCGGAAGTAGTTTTCAAAACGTCTTCTCATAGAAGGCCAGAAGGTCTTCTCATAAAAGACCACAAAGTCTTTCCATATAAGGCCAGGAAAGTCTTCTCGTAGAAGACCAAGAATGCCTTTTCATATGATGCCCAAAAGGTCTTCGCATAGAATACCACAAGTTCTTCTAATAGAAGTTCACCAGTTCTTCTCAAAGAAGGTCAGAAGTGTATCTCATAGAAGACCAGAAGCTTAGAAAGCAGAAGATCTTCTCATAGCAAACAAGATATTCTTCTTAAAGAAGACAAGAAGTTCTTAAATAAAACCAGAAAATCTTCCCATAGAAGACAATAAGGTAATTGAATAAAATACCAGGAAGGTCTTCTTAGAAAACCTTCCTCGCATTCTTTGGCCTTCTCCGAGGAAGACCTTCCTTCTACGAGAAGATCTGAATATTTTGTGGAAAACCTTCCTCGCATTCTTTGAGAAGACTTTCGAGTCGAAATAGGGTAATATAAGGTAATTGAATAAAAGACCAGGAAGGTCTTCTTAGAAAACCTTCCTCACATTCTTTGGCCTTCTCCGAGGAAGACCTTCCTTCTACGAGAAGATCTGAATATCTTGTGGAAAACCTTCCTCGCATTCTTTGAGAAGACTTTCTTCCTCGGGGAAGGCCAAAAAATGCAAAGAAGGTTTTCCACAAGATCTTCAGATCTTCTCGTAGAAGGAAGATCTTCCTCGGAGAAGGCCACAAGGTCTTCTCAGAAAAGCCCACAAGGTCTCCTCAGAGAAGACCACAAAGTCTTCTCATAGAAGGCAAGGAATGTCTTTTCATAGCAGGTCAGGAAGGTTTTCTTGTTCCTTAGTTTCCATGTATTTCAATTCTATGGTTTAGAAATTTAATCAAAATTGTTCACTCGAAGCATTTACACCCACCACGCGATATAGGGTGTTACTTAAAAAATTATCTTCAAATATTTTTATTAGGAACACAAAGTCACAAATATGTTTATTTTTGCAAAAAAATATACATGTGCACATGTTGGACAATCATGTCCTGCTCAGCTTTAAGTTGGCGGTGTTGAATGGCGTTGCCGGTGTCCTAGAGGATCTCTACAAAAAATCCAATGAATTATCGCGTTCCGAATGCAAAACTGAAGTTATTCCTGATTGTGCCCCCTCGGGTGATACTGATGATGATATTGAATGCGTCATTGACCACATGAAAAAGATGGCCAATGCCTATGTGAAGCTGGAAGAATGCAATGGGGAATTGTTGGATCCTGAAGATTTGAATATGATGTTCAGAGTAATGGCTGGGTCAACTGCTGGTTGGCGTGTCGTTCATCCAACTTGTTAATTTTGAATTGGGTGATTTTTGTAAAAATGAATATGAATTGATTTTTTTTTTTGAAAATTAAATTCTGAAATATTTAAACACAAAACTTAAAGAATAAAAAAAAGCATTTGAATAAAAATTTGATTAATCTGTGGTTATTCAAAATTGTCATTGAATATTTCAAAATTGTGTTATGTACACCTAACTTATTATCATCGTTTTTTTTTAAATAATAGTTTTCCAAAAAAAAAAAAAAATTAAAAAAAAAATAATAAATAAGTTTTTGAAAATTCTCGAAGAATTAATGAAATAATGACTTACAGCGAAATTCTTCAAAATTCTTGGGACTTGCCATTGGAAAATAGTATCTGTACTTTTCTATACCCTAATGTGCCGAATAGAGAAATATATTTCCGAAGATTTAAAGTCAATCTAGTGCATAAGACTACCCAAGAATTGAGTATTGAGTCCAGCAGAAACAAATCCTGATAAGAAGCGCCAAACTAAAGCTGCAGAAATTTATAAAAGGTTCCAACTAGAAGGCCAGAAGGTTTTCTGATAAAAGGTCAGAAGGTCTTCTCATAGAAGGCCAGAGGGTCTTCTCACAGATGGCCAGAGAGTATTCCCACAAAAGGCCAGAGGGTATTCTCATAGAAGGCCAGAGGGTCTTCTCATAGAAGGCCAGAAGGTTTTCTCACAGAAGGCCAGAGGGTCTTCTCATAGAAGGCCAGAAGGTTTTCTCACAGAAGGCCAGAGGGTCTTCTCACAGAAGGCCAGAGGGTCTTCTCATAGAAGGCCAGAGGGTCTTCTCATAGAAGGCCAGAGGGTCTTCTCACAGAAGGCCAGAGGATCTTCTCATAGGAGGCTAGAAGGTCTTCTCATAGAAGGCCAGAAGGTCTCCTCATAGAAGGCCAGAAGGTCTTCTCGTAGAAGGCCAGACGGTCTTCTCGTAGAAGGCCAGACGGTCTTCTCGTAGAAGGCCAGACGGTCTTCTCGTAGAAGGCCAGACGGTCTTCTCGTAGAAGGCCAGACGGTCTTCTCGTAGAAGGCCAGACGGTCTTCTCGTAGAAGGCCAGACGGTCTTCTCGTAGAAGACCAGAAGGTCTTCTCATAGAAGGCCAGAAGGTCTTCTCATAGAAGGCCAGAAGGTCTTCTCATAGAAGGCCAGAAGGTCTTCTCATAGAAGGCCAGAAGGTCTTCTCATAGAAGGCCAGAAGGTCTTCTCATAGAAGGCCAGAAGGTCTTCTCATAGAAGGCCAGATGGTCTTCTCATAGAAGGCCTCAATATCAAATTTTAGCTCTATTCCTTCACCTAATACTACATTTAGTAACATTTAGTACGCATATCCAAAACATTCTACATCTCTCCATCCTAGACACCAACAATGATCCAAAATAAGTACCATTTGGTACTTTTCGAACAATTATAGAACACATTTGCAACACCACCATCAGACCTCAATATTAGATACCAACGGAGACCTCAATATCAAATTTTGGGATTCCAGCTCTTAATACCAAATTTAGTACTTTTCGTATGATTTTAGTACTCATTTGCAAAACTGTTCCATATCTCAATCCTTAAAGTCAAATTTCAGAGTGGTACTTTTCTTACAATTATAAAACACATTTCCAAATCCTCCTCCATATCTCAATTCCAGATACTAACAGAGACCTCAATATCAAATTGGAGAATTCTAGTCCTACTCCTACACTCAATACCGTATTTAGTATCATTTAGTACTTTTCGTACAATCATAGTACACATTTCCAAAACCACCTCTATGTCTCAATTCTAGGTACCAGCGTAGTACACTTTTCCGAAATCACCTCCATACATCAAGGGTATACATGAACAGCGTTTCTAAAACTAAATTTCAGATTTCAAACAATATCTGTTAATCCAATGGCAAATATAGTACTTTTCGTACAAATGTAGGACACATTCCCGTACTACTGCCAAATCTTAAATACAGGTATCATTAGTGAAATAAATATCAAATTTCATAATTTAATCCAAATCATGTCATCAAATTTTAAATATTGTCCCATTTAGTACTTTTCGTACATTTGTAGTACACATTTCCAAAACCACCTCCATATTTCCAGGCTACCTTTATGCCAAATTTCCGATTTCAAATACTATATGTTAACCCAATAGCAAATTGTACCAAATGTAGTACTTTTCCTGCACTTGTTGTACATATTTCCAAAATCAACTTTGACTCTATATTCTGTACACTTATAGTAACCCTAATGCTAAATTTCAGATTTCAAGAAAAATCAATACGATTTGCTTAACGAATTTCCAATCCCAACTCTTTATCCGAACCCTACCCACCAGCAGTAATCCCAATACCAACATTTCAAATTACCAGCTTCTTCCGTTCACCAAAAACGGGATTTACCAAATATAATAAAACTCTTACATTTAGAACACACTTCCAAAACCAACTCCTTACGTCAATCCCATTTCCAAGAATTGGTTCTCAAACTGTTTTGGTCCCCATAAGTTTGTATATCCTACACATCATCAAAGACTCTCACTCCAAATTTCTGATACCCTGCTCTGTTTTAGCTGCATCCGTTCACAAAATACCAAAAGGTACGAAAATTAGTACCTTTTAATATACTTCCAGTCCGTATTTCCGATACAATTTGATTCAAAATGATTGAGATTTTATATATTTTTACTTTTTTCATTTTCTTTATTTCACGAATAAAACTCGTGATTGTATACATAAAATTACAATAAAATCTTTCTGACCATCAAATCAAATTAACACTGAGGATGGACAACACGCCATCCCACGGCAGATCCAGCCATTACCTTAAACATCATATTCAAATCTTTACGATCCAACAGTTCACCATTACATTCCTCAAGTTGAACATAGGCATTGGCCATGGCCTTCATGCGATTGGTAACGCATTCAATATCGGCATCTTTATCAGCTGTAGCCTCACACTCGGCAATGGGTTCGGTTTTACATTCGGCTCGAGACAAATCATTGGATTTTGTGTAGAGGTCTTCAAGGACACCAGCCACGCCTTTCAGGACAGCCAATTTAAAGTTGAGCAAAACATGATTATCCATGCTTAACCAACATTTGCGTTTGCTATCAAGAGTTTCCAATTGTTTCACCAACAGTTTGCCTTTGCAACCTTTACATAAACCGGCTGACGAGGAGAGGCCAATGCTGATGGCCAAGAGGACTGTGAATAGGAAGAGAAAAAAAGGTGTGAGCAGGATTTTTTGTGGTTTGTAATTAATTTTATTTTACCTCCAATTAGAAAAATGGTTTTATTGTTGAACATTTTGTTAATATCTGCTACGAGTGTGTTATGAATAAAAATTCGGAACTTTCTTTGAATTTATAGTCAAATCCAAGATATGGAGGCGTAAAATTGTCTTTACTTTTCTAAGCATGTTTGAAGTGTTGTACAAGTTCATGTGCTAAATTAAAACAAACATTTTGTGTTTGTTTATTTTTTTGTTTACTGGTGTTACTAATATAAAATGGCAATAGTAATTTCTATTGTTTCGTATTAAAGATGTAGGAAGTTCTGTTTTAGAATATAATAAACTTTATGTACAAAATACACGTATGTAAATATTGCTATTGTTGATAGTTCCGCTTAATTATTATTAGGTGTTTTTTGGGTTATTCAAGATACAACTTGTGGGCTGATTGTTTGCTTTTGATTTATTAATAATATTTTTCATATTTATTTACATTAATATATGCGAGGGAAAGTTAATTTTTGCTGCTAATCGTCTATGAATATCTTGTGGTTATTGACAAAATTAAAGCATACTTTCAGGCGTTCGAATAATGTCACATTTGGGGAAAAGTGATTTAATTTTGCCACATGTTTTTATACCCTCCACCATACTATGAAGGGGATATTCATTTTGTCAATCCGTTTGTAACTCATCGAAATAATAATCATATAGCCCCCATATAACGGTACCTCCCGATAATCGGTATTTTGATAATTTTAGCGACATTTTTCACCGGAATTGTTTCAAATTTGGCATTTGAAGTTCGAAATGGATACTACAGCCTGAGACAGAAAATTGTCTATGAAAGTCCACGTCTTCGTATAGCCCCCATATAACGGTACCTCCCTATATTCGGTATTTTGATGATTTTAGCGAGATTATTCACCGGAATTGTTTAAAATTTGGTATTTGAAGTTCGAAATGGATACTACAGCCTAAGGCAGAAAATTGTCTATGAAAGTCCACGTCTTCGTATAGCCCCCATATAACTGTACCTCCCTATATTCGGTATTTTGATGATTTTAGCGACATTTTTTACCGGAATTGTTTCAAATTTGGCATTTGAAGTTCGAAATGGATACTACAGCCTAAGGCAGAAAATTGTCTGTGCAAGTCCAAGTCTTCGTATAGCCCCCATATAACGGTACCTCCCTATATTCGGTATTTTGATGATTTTAGCGTCATTATTCACCGTAGTAGTTTCAAATTACTTACTTAGAGTTCGTAATGAGAACTACAGTCTGTGACAGAAAATTGTATATGCCGGTCCAGGTCTTCGTATAGCTCCTATATAACGGTACCTCCCTATGTACGGTATTTTGATGATTTTGGCTACATTATTCACCGTTTATTTCATGTTTCGAATTGGAATATGGTAATAGCTTGTGACAAACAATGCCTATGTAGGTACACGTCGTACAGGCCCTCATATAACGGCTATATTCGGTAATTTTAAAATGTTAACAGAATTGTTTGCGAATGTTATCTTTTTCGAAAATTTTCAAATTCGTTCTAAATGGTGGAGGGTATTCAAAGTTCGGCCCGGCCGAACTTACTGCTTTTTTTACTTGTGATTTTTGGCTTACAATATTGAGGACTAAATACTAGAAAGATAGGTTTACGTTTTCGTATAGTCCCCATATAAAAGTACCTCCTAGTATTCGGTATTTTGTGGTTTTAAGCCACAATTTTTAATGGAATTGTATTAAATTCGGTACTTAGAGTTCGTAATAGGTTATACATGCTGTGGCAGAATATTGCCTTTATCGATACATGTTTACCTACAAGGTGAGATAAAAAAAAAACTGCAACAAAGTCAAAGGCCATACTTTTTACACTTTTTTTTTAAAATTTTATTGAATGAAAGCAAAAAATTTCGGAAATAGCATCAAATTATAGAATAAGTTTAGATTTGTTCGAATTGGTCACCTTTGGCACGAATTATGGCCTTCAAACGGCCAATAAAACCGTCACACGCTGCCCGAATGTTGCTCTGTGGTATTTTGGCCCATTCCCGGCGAAGCGCTTGCTTGAGGTGATCGACACTTCGGTATTTTTTAGTGCCAACCTTGCTTTCCAAAATACTCCAGAAACAATAGTCCCACGAATTGGTATCCGGAGATTTTGGTGGCCATTGTGCGCTGGAAATAAAGCGAGGAATCTCATTTTGTAACCATTCTTGGGTGGCGTGTGCTAAGTGCGATGGTGCTGAGTCCTGTTGGAATGTCCAAGGTGCCCAAGGCTTTAATACACCCTCCAGAATATTTTCGCGATAATATTCGACATTTATTCTGATGTCATGGTCGATTAATACAAGCGGAGAGCGACTATCGGCTGTTATGGCGGCGCACACCATTACCATGGCCGGCACTTGAGTTCTGGTGGCCAACCGAAGGTGCACATTTTCAGCTGACCTCTTTGGCAAGTAAACACGATCATTTCGTTTGTTTACAAACTGCTGGACAGATAATGTTTTCTCATCGGAGAAACCTAAATTCGGCAGTTCACCACTTTCGGCCAAGCGAAGCAACTCTTTAGCTCTTTTAAGTCTATTTTCTTTCTGTTGCGATGTAAGTTCTTGCACTTTTTGGAATTTCAACGGCTTTTCCCCGAGCTCATTCTTCAATATTTGCCGAATGGAATATTGCGATATGTTCAGCTCACGAGCCATTTTTCGGCCACTGTGACGCGGGTTTCGATCAAGTCGCTTCTTTACTTTTCGAACCATTTCTGCTGATGTTGCTGTTTTCTTCCGTCCACTTTCTTGACGTCGGGCTACGCTACCAGTATTGCGGTAACGAGCGATGGTACGAGACACAAAAGATTTATTCACATTTAAATGCTGGATTGCTCTACCGATAACTACTTGTGGTTTTCCAGCCAAATATAAAGAAATCCCGCTATCACGCTTGAATTCCACAACGAATAACTTTTTTTCTGGAAAATTCTCAACAAAATGCATTTGTACGCTTGTAAACAATATAATGGGCTGTAACTCGAATAATTTTACCAGTTGTCGGGAGAGTGGCTTAGAAATGACAGCAGTCTGAAGTTGGTGGCAGTTTTTTTCATCTCACCCCGTAGATCGTTAAATCGACTTTTCAAGTAATAGCTTTTTACGGGATCTCCGATGAATATTCTGAGGAGTTTCGACCCGAATAATAATGTCAATATACCCTTCATCTTATAGTGGAGGGAGTCCTCCAATTGGTTATGTTTGTACCATCAAAAAGTTAACAGTATTGTCTTAAAAACAACAACAACAACAACAACAAATGCATTAAGATTGACTCGTTTAAAATAGCCAAAAGTGTAGGTATCTTTATAAATAAACTTCTACTTGCCCTGATTTCCTCATCAAAATTACATTTGTAGAAACGAAGAGCCGGAGAAGACAGTGAAACACCTTCTCTGTAATAGACCTAAAACAATGTTTTTTGTGGGAAACAGTAGCTCATAGCGTCCTTAATAATAATATTGCAAGAAAATATTAATATTATGGCTTTACAACGTTTTTAAATATCAACATTAATGCAAACCCGCTCTTAATGACTCGGCAATATTTCATATGACCGATAAAAACTAAAAAGGCCAAGCAACAAACAAAAAATTCACTGGCTAATTACAAATGAATATTTGTAAACAAAAAACTCAAAACAAACATAAATTAAATGTCATTGTCAGACTGTCAAACACACAGAGCAGACAAAAAAAAATTAAGCCGGCGTTTGATACTCAAGCTTAAATCGTTCACGACCAACGCCAACAAATCTATTAACTGTCATAAATTGGACCAAATCACGGTTTTAATTGAACAACCACCACCACCCCTTCAGCGTGGAATTGGAACTTTTGTCATTTAAAAGTGAATGTTACACTGCATTTTAGGATTTGTTTTTATGAAATGTTTCAAATATGAAATGTTTTCCTGGACTAATTTCAAAATTCAGTTCCAAAAACCACACTGACCATAGCAATGGTTGGCAGTGCAGGTTGACTTTATCTTTATCAGACGATTTTAATCTGAAAACTATTAACGTCTATACCTTTAGCTTCATTTCATAGTTTTTGGCTAACTAACACCAATATAGTTTCCAAAAACCATGGCATTACCAGTTTAAATGATCTTTTCAAGTGGTGTACTGCAGGTAGTGTTGGCGTTGAAACTGGTGTTTCTCTCTTACATTTTTTTCTGATATTAAATTGTATTGTTTCGTTGAATAAAAGTAGTTCAGTTCAAGAGGTCATTTAGAGGCGTTGTCCGCCGACCGACCAATACAAAGCTTTTTCATTTTATTTATATTCTTTTTTGTTTTTGTTTTTTCTTGGGAGGCTGATCTTAACTGATAGCACTTTTGTACTTGCTATTTCGAGTCATTGTTTGGCCAATATTTTTAAAATAAAATAAAACAAAACAATTCAACATTTTGCAATACGATGTAAAGGGTAACAAAGAAGAATATAGATTTCAAGTATTTTGTAGGGAAATGTAAGGAGAACTTCGGAGCTCCAATGAAGAAGATTTTTGAATTTTCAATGAAGACGTTTGGCCTTCTAAGAAAAAGATACGATTTTCTTGGCTTCAATAATAATTATCATCTGGCCTGTATTAAAAATACAATTTTCTAGCCTTCTTTAAGATGACCTTCTGGTCATCAATACAGAAATCTCCTGACCCTTTTTGTGCAAAAACCAGATGATTTTCTATCCGAAGAAATCCTGATCGTCTAAACAAAAACTTTCCATTTATCTAGAAGAATATCTTCTGGTCTTCTACACGAAAAATCCTCATTTTCAATAACAAAAGTCTTATTGTCCTCTATTCAAGAATTTTCCAGCTGCCTTCTATACTGTTATAGGAAGAGCTTCCGCTTTGAACATCTTTTTCTCTGAGAACAACTATTCTTCTGGTCTTTGTTAAAAATACCTCTTCTTTCTGTCTCCGATAAAAAGTCATTTTCTTCGACTTTCCTCTGAGAAAAATCTTCTTTTCAGATCTTTGATGAGTACCCCTTTTCTAATGGTCTTCGAAGAAAATACC